GAAGCTTTTAAATTACATTCCTCTTCCTGTTTCCTTCATTTGTTGGATCATTTGTTGGATGTACTCAACTGTCCTCACAGTTTCTGGTTTTCAGTCACTGTTTAGTTTGCATGAGCTGTTTTTGTGTTTGCGTGAGTGATCCTGAATGTTTTCAGAATCCATTCCTCATGCCTGCGTTCCTGGTTTTCAGACAGACTGAAAGGTAAAGTCGCCATTTGATGCTCAAAGATAAAAACAAAACAAAATACTGCAACTGGTGAAATCAAACACAGCAACAAATTTCCTGTTTCTGCCATCCATATCTATAAAGCGTAATGCAACCATCCTCAAACAGAAAAAGACAAAGGATAAAAACTGACCTCAACTATCTGCTGTTTTGTTCCGTCACAATATCCTGCACACGTGTTTGTCACTTTTTATGCAGGATCTGATCTTTTTTTATTGGTTTAAACATTGAATCTCTTTACAGACTCATTAAAAAATAATAATAATAATAAGGAATTGCGCTTCAAAATTAATTAAAACATTTGTTACATAGTTTTTCTCAGAGGAAATTATATGAAATAAAGGTTTTGAATGTTGGTCAAGTTAGGTGCAAATTCTGATGATGCATTTTAGAACCTCCTGCACCTCAGATTAGTGAATCTGTATAAATTAAACCTGAAAGATAAATTTTCTTAGAGTTATTTTTACTGAGGATTTAATAAGAAAAAAAAAAATGAGGGAATAAGTAGGTGGTATTGATAAATCTGAGAATTTTGCCACAAAAAGTGAGAAATGTAGAAAATAACAACGCCAGACAGGGATGGGAAGAATAAAATCTCAGAAAAACATTTACGATTTTATTTTGCTGAATTGGTTCCGTCAGATATGGACCGAACCAACTTATATGGACCGATCCATCCATAACGCTTTTCAGACCAAAACCTGAGGTCTCTTAAAAATGTTGTTGTCTTTTTAAATAAGTAGTATTTTAGGTCAAATAATTGTTTAATCATAAATTAGTCCAAAACTCATTTTAAATGTAGCATGCTCTAAACATTAGCAGCTGAAATATTAACGTTATTGTAATTAAGTACATTTGATCTCTAGTTTTGTTGAAGATGTTATGTTGACAGTAACGTAATTATATTAGATTATTTTACTGATCTTTTCGTTTTTCTCCTTTTATGGTGGAGAAACAGGAAGTTTAGTGACCGCTGATCTGATGGTTTAAAGTCCAAAATGGCGGCCTGTGATGAAGGGGTAGGCCTCCTCTCTAACTAAACAAACTGAGGAACATTTTTGATCCATAAAAGTGCGAAATGATTAACCTCCGAACATGTGTTTAAAGATAATACTGTTTTGTTGTCCTTTAGCATAAGCTAACATCTAACCTTGACAAAACTTCCAACTAGACAAGGGTTTTTGCTTCACATGATTAGTTAATAAAAGGTTTTGTTTATTTGTGTTTATTCTCAGTTGATTAGAGCTACAGATATAGAGAGCTGTTTCATTCAAAATTAAATAAACAATGCTATTGATAAACTATTAATACATATCAGATATCCCCATGAAATAAAAAATATGTTAAAATATATATTTTTTATTATGTTTTAATGTGTTTTATTTATTCAAAGATTTATTAACTTCTGAAATTTATAAATTACTTTATTTAATATTTATTTCATACATTTTTTGTTACATTTTTATTTTGCAAAGCCACTTTACACATTGTGACTTATTTTCTAATTCTATTTTTCACTTTAAGCTCCTTTTATTTCATGTTCTTATATTCCAATAAGGAGGCGGGGTTTTATCTGTCGGGCTGTTGGACTGCATCTGTTTTGCAGACACTAAGGTACTTCATGATGACCAATCAAATCAGAGTATTCCCTCTTGCCTCGCTCTGTTTGGTCCTGTCACTATCTGATCTGTACCATTGGCTCTTTTGTGCATCTGCAAAGAGATATTCATCCAGATCGCCATTGATAATGTTATCATGGGCCTAAAAGTATTTTTTTATATCCTCGGGGAGTGTTGGCCTAGTGGTTAGAGCAGTGCGCTTTTACTCTGAGATGGGTGAAAGTACCTGGTTTGATCCTGCCACACTATGGTAGCCCACTGCTCCCCAAGGGGATGGGTTAAATGCAGAGGTAAATTTCCCCACTGTGGGACAATAAAGGGATTTACATTTTTAAATTACCAAAAAATGCTAAACTACTTATTTAAAAAATGTTTAATTACTTTTTTTTTGAGTCAGTTGGAAAAGTTTTACATTCCCTCTGTAATACTGCTTGCCTGACATCATCATGGGGTTAGGGTTAGGTCCTCAGAGCAGTCTGACACAATATGATTATGCCGTTTGTATCTGCAATTAGGTTGTTTTTTATTTAGATCATGCATTATAAACCATGAGTTTATAAGAGGAGAAAGGAAAAAAAATCAAAAAGACAGAAGAGTGATATTATTTTCTCAATAAGTCTGAGATTCTTCCGTTTTCAGACATTGTAAATCAGTACATCTAGAAAGATCAGACACATTCTGCAAAATGCAGACCAAAAAATCTGCATCAATTCTTTTCTTCCCCTGTTCAATTCGCTGAACTCTTATCAGCGCTGCCAGACAGATAAAACTCTGCCCCCTCTTTTAAATATAAGAAAAGGAAATAAAAGGAGCTTAAAATGAAAAACGGGTTTAAGAATATAAGTCACTGAATAGCTAAAGTACCTTTACAAAAAAAAAAAAATCCATTGTGAAATGAATAAATAACCATAATGAATAAATCTTTGAATAAATAAAAAACATATTTATTTTTATATACAATATACAACATATTTTTGTTTTATTTAAATGGGAATATTTATTTAATGGAATATTTATTGACAATTTATCAATAGCAGTGTTTGTTGATTAATTTAATTTTGACTGAAACGGCTCTCCATATATAAAGGGAGGAAAGTTACTGTAAAGACTGTTAAAAGTTCATGGGCGCCCCATGCTGGAATACTGAGATTGCTGCAGTTTATATATTTGGATATACCTTATATTTCATTTCCCTTCACACTGGCCTGTAAAATTAAACAAAAATCAAACGTTCCAAGCATGCAAAACATCAATGCACTGCTTATTTCTCTGCTGCACGTTTTATATTTCCGTTCATCAGGTCTTCTACCAACATTTTTTAGATTACAAAAAGAAGTCATCTGTATCAGGACACTTTGCTCTGATCTTAAACCAGCTCTTATTATTGGCAGATTCTTCAACTTTGATAACTGATTATTTAAGATAGTTCTCTATATATGATATAGTTGAGCCCATAAAAAAATATTCATTTATTAACGTATTTCAGTCGTAAACAAAGTTCCTGGTCCATTTTAACGAAGAATAAGCTGGCTCAAATATAAACCAAATTCACAAGCAGCGCAAACTTAGAAGTTTAAAAAACATACTTTCAGTTAAATAATCCTCTTGATATTATTTACCTCTATAATTAATCTATATTAATTTAAATCCTATAGGAGAAAGAAACCAGTGGTCAAATAATGGGAAAGAGAGCTTACATTTTTGCATTTTTAATTTTAATTATGAGACACAATCATTATAACTACAATAAAAGCAAATAGAGCACCCTTTATTATTTTGTTTCATTAATTTGTATCTAGGCTGAGATTTGTTTAGCCTTGCAGTGCAGATATTTAAGTCATTGTAAGATGCCTTTGTCCCTAAATCATTTATTAGATTAATTTATAATCAGATGGAAATAAATGGTACTCTATGGTTAGAGGAGGTTTGGATAGCTTGCAGCTCACTGACCTTACTGGAAAGATGCTCTAACAATTGTGTCTTAGAAATATTTTGTTTTATTTAGGAGTTAAATTTGTTTCTCTCGTAGATATTTAATTATCTTTGTATAAATATTTGCCCAGCCATCAGAATAAGATAACAATGTTCTCTAATATGTGACCCTTTAGCCACCAACCTGAAAACATATAAGAAAGAGCAAAATGTCTGAAAACTTAATTTTTTTATGCTCAATTATTTTAAACTAAATTTATCCAGATTTAAACATAATTTAATATAATTGCATTTTATTCTCTCAGAAATTGTCAAACCTTTTCATGAATCCTAATCCAAACTTGATCCATTGATCTAACTGCTGTTCATAGAGTTCGAATTAATTCAGATTAATAAAGAAAATAACCTTTTTTAGCTTCCAAATGATTTACTTTTCTCTCGTCTGCCTGAAAACCAGAATAAAACGCCACTCGTCCTTTTATCATATTAATTTCCAACGGAAAACAGGATGTCTGTTTGACAAAAGGAACCCAGTGGTGAATACAATATATTTAATGTATTTATGTTAGATTAAAGACACTAACAAACTTTTCTGAAAGGAAATACATCTGGAAATGACACGGTTTGAAACCTGAGCATAATGTCTTGCAGAATAAGCGACCTTAAATAACATCTGACTCTGCCTTCAGTTCAGAACCAATTTATTTTAGGATTTCATCAGAGCAAATTAAACTACATTTTATAAACGGCTCGGGGTTGAGTTCCCTTCCAGCAGGCAACTCTGTGAGACATTAATCAGGGTTCCTGTAATCATTAGACTGCTGTGGTTGTCTGTTAGTCAGGGAAGGGTTCCTGTTAGATCCATCAAAACATCAAAAAAAGGGGCTAACCATCAGCCAAACGAAGCGCCCTCAGCAATCATTGCCTCTGTTTCCCTTCATTCTTTGAAAGCTACGCAGCAGCTGCTTTATTCTGCACAGTTTGATCTCTTCTGTTCTTGTGATCAGTGTGTGCCGATTACTCAAAGCGATACAGGTGGGGTCTGGCATGTTAGGTTAGCCATGGATGGTCTTATATTGCCTTACATTGTAGTTCTGCTTGCTATCTGTGACATGTTGGCCAGGACCCTACTCTATCGCTTTGTACAGTATAAAGTAGTTTAAAAAGTTGAATAACATAAAATAACATATTACAATGTTATTTATGTTATTTCCCACGTGAAGAACTCCTGTAAACCTTGCAGTATTGAAACTCAGTGAACAAGGCATCTTAGACAAGCTGAAAAACAAATGGTGGTACGATAAGGGTGAATGTGGAACCAAGGACTCTGGAAGTAAGGTCAGTCGCTGCAGGTCTTTTTATACTGATGGAAAAAAAATGCATTTTACCTTCACTGTTCATATGCAGACATGTAGAGCTTACAGACACGCTGGCATGAAACACAGTCATGGAGACTAGATTACTTTTGCACACTGCAGTTTAGCTCATTTACACCACAGGTGCACTGATGCATTACTCTACCTCTCTGTGCAGACACATAAAAATCCAGCATGATGATGACACAGTTTTTTATTCACTCCATTAAATCCTGAAAAGTTTAATGACAGAACTTAAACCATTATGCTGCTATTTTTCTTCCAAACTGTTATTGAAATTTACTTTACTGTTGGTCTTATTTATTTGTGTAACGATCTGTTGATAAACCCTTTACTAAAAAGAAAAGTAATAAACTTGGGAAGCTGTGCAGAGTTTTTCCCAAAATGGTGATTTTCAAACGGTATTTAAAGCAACACTGTGTAACTTTTAGCCACTAGGGGCGCTAGACTTATTACTTTCAGGTTTAGTCCTAATGAGATCAGCTGGCAACCTTGCACTGTGGCTAAATAAAACAATCTCTGTTGGAATCTGATAGATCCTGGGAAAATAAAGGTTATATTTACACTTAAGATCATCATCCTCTCGCAACAACTGTTAGCTTTGGTGTTTAAGGAGAACTCAGACATAAAGCAGCGCTTGGGTAGTATGACTCATTCAATGATAGATCTGAATCCTGACTAGGGCTGGGCAATAAAAGAATATAAATTAAATTATGTCTGATAGAGAGATTTATAATATCACTAAAGTCTGATCTAACACTGCATTTTTGGGGATGTAGGCAGACCAAAGGAGTGCCTCTCATCCTCTCACACCAGGCTACGCTAGGTTTTTAATAGGCCTGGGCTTAACTTAAACAAAAAAAAGGTTACGTTTAGTAAAGGGAAAGGTTAGGGTGATGCTTTTTTCTTTAGGCCTTTATTTCAAATGTTTAACTGTTTGTTTCCAGATGGAACAACCTGTGGAGCTAGCTTACTGCTAGCTTTTCTAACATAGAAAGTATTTATTAGTCAGTGCTTCTGTGTTCCTCTTGTATCTCTGCTTCTATGTCCTTGAACCCCAGTCGGCCTCAGCAGATGGCCGCTCACTCTGAGCCTGGTTCTGTTGGAGGTTTCTTCCTGTTAAAAGGGAGTTTTCCTCTCCACTCTCACTACATGCATGCTGTGTGAGAGATTGCTGAAGAATTAATATGTCAGCTGGTTTCCCAAAGAAACTAAACCAATGTGACTGTATGATCTGGATGAATTGTTTCTGTAAAGGACTTTCAGATGACATTTTTTATGAATTGGTGCTATATAAACAAGCTGAACTGAATAAAAATATAGACTGATAAAGATAAAGGCTAATCATGATACATTTTCCGCCATATTGCACATCCCTACTCTATAGTTATTTATGCAAGTTTTCGAAGAGAGCTTCCATATACACAAAGTGCTTATATTGATACTAATCTGAAAGTTTATTTAAGACACCTTCAATTAAGCTAATAATTGGGTCAAAGGTCACACAGTGTTGCTTTAACAAATAAAACATTGAATTAACTCCGTGCTAGCAACATGTTTCATAAAGGGAGGGAGGAGTAATGTGTTTGACCTAAAGATGGGTTCAGTATGGGCCAAATAGATAGTTACACAGGGCGGCATTAGAAATGGGGTGCACAGTAAAAAAAATGTTTCCTGTGTTCCTAACCTCAATTATGGTCATAAGATTTGGATAAAGAACATAAGCCTGGATGCAAAATGAAATGACGGTGGCTGGGCACTCCCTCAGATAAAGGGTGAGGGGCTCGTTCATTCAGGAGAGGCTCAGAGAGGAGTCCGCTCAGGAGGCTCGGCTGGATTTTATTCACCTGTGGTCATGAAAGTGACAGAGAGCAGCTCTTCTCTCCTCTTAATTGAGAAAAAGATACTTTCATTCACTTTTTATAGTGTAGTCTCTGTATAAAGTAGCTGGACCTAGAACAAAAACTAACCTTAAACTGAAAAAATAAAGTGCATTTGCCCTTCATTTGAGCCGTTAAGTGGAATAGATAATCCATTTATTTTCCTACAATGGGGAAATTGTGGTGATTTACCAACAAAATGATTTGCCAATCAATTGAGTAAAGATGAAATTATCTAAAACAAAGTAATTCTATATTAACTGCTTTTGAAATAAGATAGATTTTAGGTGCCAAAATATTACTCTGCAGATCGTTTTAGTTACCTACTCATATATACTTTTATTTTTTCACTCACTTTTAATTTACTTTTACAGTTTATATTTTAGAAGTTATTTTCCATCTGTCAGACTACTATTAAATGCCGTGTCCTCCCTTTTTGAAAACATGTTTTTATATGCCCTCAAACTATGTTGAACAACCATAATGGTTTTACTACTTTAAAGGAAGAACAATATCTTTTCTTTTTAAGGATCTTCTGTTGCTTCCCAACTTTTACAGAGAAAATAATGTTGTTGCTCTGAAATGTCCAACTGACCCTTAATAACAAGTTAGCATTTAGACTGTATTTTATGCCCCCCCCCCACCAAACTTTTAAAAGTTTATGCTGCAAAGAACTCTACTTGTACCGCTACCACTTTAAAGGTAATAATGACATCTTCCAGAGGTCACCAAAGGTCGTTCCTTCTCTAACCAAACAAAAAATGGTGGCAATCAATTCTGCTATTTTTGTGCAGCTAAGATATTTGTGAGCCCCCCTCCCACACTGTGATTTTTTCTCCCACTCTGTTAACATTTGATCACTGCTGCACTTAAAGAAATGGAAATGTCATGAGAGCTGTACAAAACGAAATTTCGTCTTTTATTTACTCTGTATATAAAAAACAACAATAAATGTTGTTTAAGCTTGATAAGGTCAAAGTCAATGGAGAGGCCTAACAAACATAGTGACCCATACCCTAAACCTAACCATTATGGGTTCATACCTAATCCTAACATCTTAGGCCTAAACGGGACCCCTGACCCAAAAAAACCCACTCCCCTCATGGGGTCAGACACAAGGAGCTGTTCCACGCAATGTTCTGAATTTAAAGAAAATGGGCGCCACAGTGTATTCAAAATAAGAACACACACACACATTAACCAAATCTTAGAAAATGGGTGCCAATCAATTTAGCTATGTTTGTGCAGCAAATGTTTAAGTTTGTGCTGCCATTGTTTTAAAGCTGCTGGTGAAGTTCAAACTTTTCAACCTTTTGTCAGCAGCTTTAAAACAAAAGCAGCACAAATATTTTGTTTTTGGCAAGGCAAGGCAAGTTTATTTGTATAGCACATTTCATGTACAGAACAATTCAAAATGCTTTACATAAAACATTATAAGCAAAAGGGAGAGAAAACAATTAAAAACAATTAAAAGCGTGATTCAAAATTAAAAACATTTAAGATTAAAAAGAGAGAATACAGAGACGTGCGGATTTTAACTTTTGAATAGAATCTACGTAAATGCAGCTGAGAACAGGTGGGTCTTTCAGCCTGGATTTAAATAAACTAAGTGTTTCAGCTGATCTGAGACTTTCTGGGAGTTTGTTCCAGACATGTGGAGCATAGAAGCTGAACGCAGCCTCTCCATGTCTGGTTCTGACTCTGCGAACTGATAAAAGGCCGGATCCGGATGACCTGAGGGGTCTAGTAGGTTCATATTTGCTGCACAAACCTAGCCTAATTGATTAACACCAATTTTGTTTGATTTTAGGAAGTAAGGGGCTGACCTTTGGTGAACTTTGGAAGTTTTCCTTAATATCTTGAAAACGATAGCTGCACAAACAAAATTATTCGAACAAATGTGTCAACCATTTTTGTCTAATTTGGTTAATGTTGGGGACAGGTTGATCTTTTGACCTTTGAACTTTTATCAGTAACTTTAAAACAAAAGCGGCAAACAAAAAAAAAAAAAAAAAAAACAACCTTGCTGCTCATATATAGCCAAATTGATTGAAACCAGATTTGCAGGATTTTTAAAAATATTGATAAAGAATTTTGATGTTAGCCTAGACCAGATTTCAGAACCAATAAGTAAACAACAGATGTGAAACATAAACATTGGCTGTTTCTCAATTTACTAGAAACGTGAGTACAGACTCGTTTTCTTGCCCAAAAAGTGGGGACTCTGGGAGAACGGGAACATGTAGAATAAATATGGGTCAATTGGAACAAAAGCGTACTCGTGACTCGTCACCACACGCCCGGCTCGTCTGGAGCTGCATTTCACCTCCTGTTATTAATAGTCTCCAGATAATAATAAATTCTTACTTTTTTCATATAGTGGGGAAATAATTAAAGTCAAATAAACACAAATCAAATTACCATTTTGCCAAATACAACCAAAAATTCTCCATCAGAGCCAGCGGTACTTTACATGCAGCTATGCAAAGAGAGGCTGCCTAATGTTAGCCATGGCTGCTGCAGTAGTTTTTCAGTTTAAGATCTATTTAGCCGTATTTTAAATCCGTACCAATATTGTCTAATGAAACTTTGTGACAGAATCGATTTATTTTAACAACCTTAATCCTTAAAGCATTGCTCTATTAACTGGTAACAGTTACAGAAATGCTCTGTTGCATTATTGGCCCACCGTCCGCGCTGTGATTGGTCAGATCTATTTTAGAGACGACTGCGTCTTAAAAGATTTAATAACTCTCTGTGTCTTTCTGGACACGCTACGTTGACCTGTATTTAAAATGATAGCTGCACAAATTACAGACATTTTACTGCAAAAATGTTTGACACCATATTTATTTCATGGGGGGGGGCTTATATAACAGAGTGTCAGAGCAGAGCAACAAACATTTTAGTTAAACAAATTAGCAAACAGGTGCTCTGACCTTTCCAACAGAGGAGCAGAGTACACCACTGCTGGAATCGATCTATTGGGTTTTAATGCAAATGGTAAAACTTGCAGAAATGAATTTCAATATTACTGTTTGGCTTCTGATAGCAGCAAAATGGTTCAGTTCTCTTTTCTTTTACAGCTTGCTACTCTGACTGTACATATGCAGTGTAGTGAAGGTTGAGTTCAGCAGCTTTGGTAGTAAATTGCAGCTAATCTGTAGACCTGTACGACCACGACCGCCTTCCTCTATGCATGGCCTCGTAAAGAGACCATAAAGCAGGATAGTTTCTCTCTACATTCACCTTCGCAGGGCTTTAGAGGACAGAATGATTAATAGGAGGAGGTGCATACATTTATTTTAGGCAGAAGAACCAGTTGTACTTCAGGAAGTTTATACACATATTTAGCAGCCTCCTCTTAGTAACTGTTAGTGACAGAGTAGCCGTGTACATGTATGTGACTGTAGCCTCCTGTCAGTTTAAAGCACTTAATGGTGGTCTGTACCTCCCCCAGGACAAGACAAGTGCATTGAGCCTGAGCAACGTGGCAGGGGTCTTCTATATTCTGGTAGGAGGGCTGGGCTTGGCTATGACCGTGGCTTTGATAGAATTTTGCTATAAGTCACGGCAAGAGACAAAAAAACTAAAGCTGGCAAAGAACGCCCAAAACTTTAAACCAGCCCCTCCTGCAAACACCCAGAACTTTGCCACGTACCGTGAAGGCTACAACGTCTACGGGACGGAGAGCGTGAAAATCTAAAGGTAGGATTTCTGCCCAGTTGTTCGTGATCGATTAGCGGATATTTGTGAACGTGGAAGCTTGTTTTTACAAAATCATAGAATTAACAAATATTTCTTGGTGGCACATTTATGTACATATATAAAATATATGGAAAGACGTTTTTCCCATTATTCATTTTCGTAAAGAAAATGTTTTCCAAATTGAATTTTGAAAAGAATGCAATCTATAAATAAGCATTTGAAAAACTTCACTGCAAAAACGATCTAGAAATAAGTAAAACATTTCTTAAATTAAGTGTATTTACCCTTAATTTCTGAGGTAAATTTGATAATTGGTAATTTAGTAATTTGATGATTTGCCAATGAAA